AAGCAAAAAAGAAGAAGAGTAAACATCCCTCAGAGCCTGGAAGAGAGAGAGACGTTGACCCACAGGGACGACAAGCAAAATGAGCACACAAAGCGTACGCGTCGCCCCTGCCAGGGTGTGCGTGTCTGCGGTTGCTTCTCACCACTTACCCACCGGCACAGGCAAAGAAGGCCGTGATCAGCAGCAGCAGCAGTGGGGCACGCACCCACGCAGCGGCGATGGCGACACTGCTGTCCGCGTGGCTCCCAGCACTCGGGCTGCGGGTGGTGGTGGTGGTGGGCCATCTGCTGCCCTGCCTGTCGTCTGTATTGGCGAAGCCGCAGTGCCAACCGATGGAGTTGTAACTTCCCGAGGACCCTCTGCCGATGGTCCCCGACTTCCGCCTCCCTCCGCATCGCCTGTCTGCCCCCCAACAGTAGCAGTGGAGCCCCCATTCCCCGCACGGTCTCCGTCATGAGTTTGCGCTGCAGGTGACGCTGCTGCTGCATCTGTTGGTTGCTGTTGTGGTGGAGTTTGTTGGGGTTCAGACCGCACTTCAGCCGCGGGTTGACCGAAGGTTGAGAACTCGCAACCGCCAGACCCGCCAAGTGGATCCTCCGTTGGATTGATGGAGACGGTTGCCATCTTCGCTCTTCGACAGATTGTGCAGCGCACTGCTTTCGGCCGCCGTACAGTTCATCGTGAACGCAACAACTTTATTCGTGTCCCCATCTGTGGTGGATGGAGAGCAGTCCCCCGTCGGGAACTTCTCCAGGTACACCGAACCGGCAAAGATGCAGAGGGAATTGCTGCCAGCAGCGCCTCCACTGCTCCCAAAATCCTTCACTGCCTGCGGACACTCCCTCCAAGTGGGAGATTTCTCGCCGGCAACGCGCCAACTCAACATGCCGTTAGTGTCCGGGCACGACAGCTCCACCGACACATTCACATCCCCGGTCGGCGCAGCCTTCTCAGTTCCCGCCCCGCAGACGGAGCCGCAGAGCAGCGCGAGGAGCGCGAGGAGCGCCAGGGCACACACCGCACGGCGCCGCACCGCCAGCGTCGTCATCGGCAAAAGTAGTAGTGGTGGCCGTAGAGTGGCAGAGTCGCTGAAGTCAGCGGGGAAAAAGACGCAGGAAACAAGAGAAGCAGAGGGATGGAGAGGGAGTGCAGCGGATACAGTGTGGAGAGCAGGTTGACAAAAAAACAAAAAGGCGGCAGCCGAGCAACTTCACGCAGCCACACACGCAAGAAAGGCGCACACCACCGGCAGCCACCCACGACGGAGCAGCGAAGAGCAGCCGCCCCCACACGCACATGCACACGGGAAGTGGGCCCGCAGCCACCACCCAAATGAGGCGGCTCCCGCAAGGAAAACGAGTTAGTCACAGCGCACTCCCCTCATGCTGTGCGTTTTCCTTCCCTCCTCTTCACGTCCCGCGAGGAAACGGCAGCAGCAGCCGCACACGGCGCTGCCAGCACAGGCTGCGGAAACGCCATCCACCTGCATGACACCACAGGCGCATCGCATGCACGTCGGTTGCGTCTGTG